AGAAACAAATCATAAAGGGGTGTTTTGACCTAACACTCTACACGTGCTAAAATTAGTATATAATGAACTATGATACAAATGAAAGCACAGGCTTGTGAGCTATTTGTATTCTACATCTCAGGGAATACATAATTTATTTCTCAAAAAAGAATTCTTTAGTACTTCATTATTTTATAATTTATATAAAACATTCTAAGAACTTTATCCTTCACAGAAGGAAGATCATTTTTCTATATAACTGGTGAACTAGAAGAATTTCAAACAATATATAGAGTATTTATAATAAATAATATTGGAGCTAGAGAGATGGGTCAGCGGTTAAGAACACTGGTGGCTCTTCCAGAGGACCTGGGTTTGATTCCCAGGACCCCCATGATAGTTCACAATCATCTCTCACTCGAGTTCCAGGGGATCTGACCTCTTCTGCTCTTTCCAGGCACCAGGCATACAAAAGGTACAAAGACATACATGCACACCAAACACCCATACACATAACATAAAATTAAAAATAATAATTTAGTAAGAAATAAGGCAGTGTTGTGTATCTAAACACAGGAGTTATAGCCAAATCTTTGTCAGAGAGACTATTACTATGCTCAATGTTCTTATTAACAATGAGAGATTGAATTTCAAAGATATTCAATTGTTTATTTGATTGAATTGATTATTTTGAGATCAGGTGGACAAATAAGCACTCCCAGTGCAGTTATTATATTATTGTGTGCATCCACTACACACATACACACACACACTCAAACACACTCAAGCACACACACTCTCACACACACTGTATGCATATGGCATCTCTGTTTAGAAAAGACTTGTGGGGCATGATGGTGCACGCCTTCAATCCCAGCACTTGGGGAGGAAGAGGCAGGCAGAGGCAGGTGGGTCTGGATGAGTTCGAGGCCAGCCTGGGTAAACAAAGCGAGTTCCAGGACAGCCAAGGCTATCACATAGAGAAACCCTATCTGGGGTGGGGGTTGGGGGAGGACTTAAAGACTTCTAATAAACACTATCTAACTTCCACAGATTTTGCTTAAGAAATGGCAAGTGGTATTGGAAACCATATGGTTACTGTTTCCCACTTCAGCCCTGGGAAAAAAGATTTCACTGAGGATGTATTTGTGGGAAGCAGCAGGTATTATAACTGCTGGAGTGGTTAAGAGGTTCAGAAGTGAGCTTGTTTAGACCAAGACATTTTCTAAATTTGTTTCTATGTACATAAAAATATCCTGTGGTGCTGACACGTCATTAAGGCGACCAGATAGCCGAACTTGGGGCTGAAGGAGCAAGCAAATAAAGCTGTTCTGATTATCTGTTGTATTAAAAAGTACTGTCTATTGCTGAACAAATCCTTCCAAAATGTTCTAGATGGAAACATCACTCGCTTTATGACTATCTGTTACAGCGCAGGGGCTGCCAAGGCTCTACCAGGTAGTAAATGTGAAATTTCTCCTCAATACGCTTTATTTTCAAAGTTGCAGCTGTGCGTTATGGACACAAGCCGGCAACAGACTCCCCTTTGACTTTCTGAGCTAACACTCCTGCAGTGAAAGTAAAAACTTCGTTAGACAAGTCTACTGCTGCGTCTGGGAAGAGAAATGCGCAAAGATGCCTTAGAAGGCAGGGAGCCCTGAGAGGATTCACAAAATAGTCGTCAACAGACAAGTTGTCGTGCAGAGGCCAGGCGTGGTGGTGGCACCTTTAATCCCAGCAATCGGAGGAAGAGGCAGGAGGATCTGAATAGCTACTAACTGATTAAATTCCCTTATCTCTTCCTTTTCCACCCTCCATCCTTGAAAACTGAAAGTAAACCCATTTCACAGTTTTCCTTTTATTAGGACACAGGCACAGAGTGGGATTATTTGATGGTAAAGTGATGTACCTCTAATTTTTGAGGACTCCCTTGCTGTTTTGCATAGCGGCCACGACAGCTTTCATTCCCACCAAGGTAGGCACTTCATCTTTTTTCCCTATCCTCATGAACATTCATCTCTTGTTTTACTTTATAATTGACAGGAAGCAGGGTTGGAATACCATACTTTGCATAGAGCGGTTTTGGGTAGCTGTTACCTTGCTTGCTGACCTTGACCAGATGTCCTCCCTATGCTGATTCCCTGCTGGTTTCCTTCCTCCTGAACACTCACCAGAGGTTCCTTGTTTGGGTATCCTGCATTTGGTGTAAACAGCTTAGATGCAAGAATGTAGAACATTGGTAGCGAACTTCTGCCCTCTGGGGTTCCATCATTGTGCTGTAAGCCTGTATTTAAGGTTTCCTCCCTCCTGCAATAAACGGCATTCGGCATTCAGCATTTGGCATTCAGCATTCGGCATTCTGCTAAGACGAATGACCCGCTATCTCTTGTCTCTGTTTTTTGATCCATAGCCCCTCGCTCAGACATGGTAAATGGGTGGTAGTAGCGCGGGCGTTACCGCTACAGTTGCAGTTAGTTTATGTGGATAAATGTGACTCAAATCTGACAGGTGAGGAGTGACCACCTGTGGCATCTGAATTAGACCTGATATTTTATAAGCCTTCCTGGTGGAATTCACCTTCATAGCTGGAGTTCCAGAGATGATCTCAGTAGGATCCTATCCAGTAGTAAATTAATGCTGAAGCAGAAAATCCAACTCTTTTTTTGTTTGTTTGTTTGTTTTTATTTTTTTCAAAACAGGGTTTCTCTGTGTAGCTTTGTGCCTTTCCTGGAACTCACTCTGTAGCCCAGGCTGGCCTCAAACTCACAGAGATCCACCTGCCTCTGCCTCCTGAGTGTTGAGATTAAAGGCGTGTGCCACCACCGCCCAGTGAAAATCCAACTCTTTGGGGTCATGGGAAAACTTTGCACCCAATGTGGCCTTTAGGGTTACTTGATTTCATAGGTAACATCTGTAGTGGGATGAATCATGAAGCATCAGGAAAGACTCAGCTCATCTTGAACAGTGTTGGAAAGTTGTTACCAATACCATGCCAGGAGGCGAGCATGCACATGATAATTTATGGGACTATTTCCTTCAGATTTGTGCTCTGATGGTGTTATTGTGTTACTGAAATGACTAAGGCAACATCACCCTGTCCCAACATTACTTAGTGCCTGCCTGGTCACTTCTCAGTCTTCCACCTCCAACAGCCACATTCACCTTGGTGATACTTCTGGGACTGTCCATGACCTTGACCATGGTTCAGATGTATTGTGTGGTGTCTGGAAGATACCACCGAGCCTTGTAAAGAACGAAGATGTTACTAGGCAAGTCTAAATCCCTCACGATGTACCGCCCCAGCGCTGCTGTAGTTATGATTTTGTCTTTTAAAACGCAGTACCCCTGAGCTCAGGCACCAAGAAACACTGCAGAGGTGTGAGCCCATCCGTGTCTGGCCATTAATAAAGTACTCAAAACGTTTAGTTGGCTTAATCAGTGTGCTTGTCGGTAACTGTTGAATGTGGACCAATACATCGCCAGATATCTTAGTCAGGTTTTGGTTGCCATGATTAGCACCATGACCAAAAACAACTTGGGAAGGGAAGGATTTGTTTCAGTAAATCTTCAGGAAAGTCAGGTGAAGAACTCAGGGCAGGAACCTTAAGGCAGGAACTGAAGTAGAAGCCATGGACGAAGGCTGCTGACTGGCTTGCTCCTCCTGGCTTGCTCACTTTGCTTTCTTTTTTTTTTTTTTTTTTTTTTTTTTGGTTTTTCGAGACAGGGTTTCTCTGTGTAGCTTTGCGCCTTTCCTGGAACTCACTTGGTAGTCCAGGCTGGCCTCGAACTCACAGAGATCCGCCTGGCTCTGCCTCCCGAGTGCTGGGATTAAAGGCGTGCGCCACCACCGCCCGGCCTCACTTTGCTTTCTTATTATGCAGGACCACTTTCTCAGGGGTGGCCCCACTTACAGCGGGGGCCCTGTCATATCAATCATTAATTGGGAAAACGCCAGACAGGCTAGCTTACACTCCAGTTTTATGGAGATGTTTTCTTAACTGAGTTTCACTCCTCCCAGACGAGTCTGGCTGGTGCCAGGTTGGCGAAATGTTAGCTGACACACCAGGCAAAGATTTCTCCTCTCATTTTGTCTTTTCACAGAAAGAATTCAGCTAAGACACAGTTTGAGCTCAAGTTTATTTAGCAAAGCCAAGAAACTCAAAGCAATAACAAACTCCAGAACGACATTGGAGCAGGCAGGACTGAAGGGGGCGGCCCACTGGGCTGTGCGTGGTGGAATTTTAAAAATTTCTTACCATTCCCTCTCTCTTATGTCAACGTAGAGTTCCTCAACATCGAGTTCCTCCCTTTGGGAGCCAGCTCCATTTATCTTACTCTTCTGAAACTGTCCTTCCCTGCTCATTAGCATCGATCTGGTATGATCACTGGGAAAGTCCCCTGGTGCCTTAATTTCTTACATGGCAGGAAGAGCCCAACTGCAGCTTCAAGGGTGTCTATCCACTAAGGAGCATTGTAACCTCAGGAGACACAGGTCACACAGCTGTCACCCCCCTTGATTGACTCCCTAGTCAGGATGAACCTAACTAGAAAAGGGTGCGTGTGCATGACCCCGCCTCCCACCTACTCATATCTGCTTAGCTGCATGCCCTTAACAGTTAACAAACATCACTGTTGTTAATGGTTGATTTATAGTGCTGCTTTTCTCTGAAAGGTTTTCCTAGGTAATTTGTTTCCTAAGAATTTTCACAAAATAAATTATTCTTTGAGTGTTTGTACATTGAACATTTTCATTATCAAGTATTAAAACACTTTATTCCCAGAAAATAGGAATTGAGAATTTATTTGAATCATGATAATACGTACTTCAATTTAAGTGATTCAATTTGAAATTAAGTGATTAGAGTATGAAGATGTCTATTTTTAAAGAAATTGTATGCCTCTTTGTAAAGTAGATTCAGTATTTGTAGGGATAACGCCTGCGCTACCACCACCCGTTCACCATGTCCGAGCGAGGGGCTGTGGATTAAAAAATAAGGGACAAGAGACAGCGAGTCATTCGCCACGGCTGAATGCCGAGGGCCAGCCGAATGCCGTTTATTGAAAGAGGGAGGAAACCTTAAATACAGGCTTACAGCACAATGGCGGATCCCCCCCCCTACATTCTTGCATCTAAGCTGTTAACGCCCAATATGCAGGATACACAAACAAGGAACTTCCCTAAAGCATTCAGGAGGGTGGATACCGGCAGGGAATTAGCATAGGGAGAACATCTGGTCAAGGTCGGCAAGCAGGCAATGACTTTACTCAATATGGGAGGAGACCAGGGCCCTACAAGTATTCTTCATTTTTCGTGGAAAATTTGGCAAATTTTTAGAAAAGGGGATATTGAAAAGATCTACCTTTTTTAAAACTTAATTTCCCCAAGCATGGGAAGAAGACATGCTGAGCAAATTAGAGCGGAAAGGACTAGTGGAGTGGCAGGAAGAGCTAAGCCTTGCTTTTGTTTACTTTCCTATCACTTAAACAGAAAACTTTCAAGGAAGCAGCTCATCTCTGCCAGTTCTGGAGCTGTGAAGGCCAGCACCAAAACGCCAGCGTTGGCCCAGGGTCTGCTGATGCATCACGTCCTGGTGGAGACATCACGTGACCAGTGCTCAGTTTACCTAGGATTTTGTAGGTGCAGTCCAAACCACTGTCAGTCCTTTCCCCCAAACCCCTTAACCATGGGCTTCTGGTGTCAGTCAAGAGCAAAGGCTTCAGTCAGTGTTCTACAGCCCAGCAGTGTGACGACGGCTTGTGGGATGGGGGTGGGGATCAGGATTCTGCAAACAGTTTTCTGCACGCACAGAGACCAGTGAAGGCCACACAGACTCCAGAATGGAATCCGCTGCTTCTCAGCTGTCTGGGCTTCTTTCCACAGAGCACCTCTTTTAGAATGGTACATCAGCATCTCTGTCCCCTTTACAGAATGAAGAAACTGGACATAGGCATCTGTAGGAGTCACAGTGGTTTTAGAGTCCATGCTCTGTGCCGCTAACTGTGCACTGGAGGAGGGGGTCAGCAGCCTAGACAGATTGAGTGCAGAGGTCCAGTGTGGATGGTAAAGTCATGGAGATGGGATTCACAGTCAGGGGTCATCACACGAGGTTTCAGACACGTTTTAGTTCTTTTTGGCAGATCCACTTGTAGTCTGAAATACAGTCCTCAGAAACCACAGTGTCCTCTGTGAGGGAGGCACAGCTGTCTTTTGTAGCTTCACCAATGATTTGCAATCTGAGGAGGAAGAGAATAGCCACTCTTAGTACTTAGCATTTCCTCATAATTATCTTGAGTTGGCCATCTTTTCCTCTGGACTTCTAAGGACTGTAGAATACATAATTATTAATCATAGTAAACACAGAGAAACAACACGCATCAACATTAAAGATAAAGGTTTATCTGAACAAATCTCCGGTATAATTTTCAACTTTACTTTCAACTGGAGAAGAATTCTTTCAGCAAAAAAGTAATATTCATATGATATAAAAAAGGAAGAGGTTTGGAAACAGGATTGAACCTCTTTCTCACATCTCATGCAAGGAAAAAAGCTGCCTCACTTTGCGGAGCTTCAGTTTCCTAAATACATAGGATATAACCAGCCAGTGCCTGGGGAAGGGGTTCATATACACATGAAAGTGTGACATCAGTTAAACACAGTGGGTGCTTAGTGACTGTACAGACTGAGCTCTCAGGGTCTACAGAGGAAGGAGGCTAAGGCTGTGTCAGTCATGGTCCCTTTATTCCCTGTGTTTGATTTAATACTCATGCCTGGCTCCTATGGCTCACTGTAGGCGTGAAGGAGACTAGAATTCAAACACAGCACAGTTGAAATTAGAGTTAACTGTAAGGAAGAGATGAGTTCAAAACGCACTGATTTATTGTAAACGGAAGGGTGGATGACAGTGGGTGGGACTTCCTCACAGCTGCGCTTTCTCCTTCTGTCATTTCTTCATGGAGGCCCTTGGGCCTGAGAGATAATCACTCTCACTCAACTGCCCGCATGCTAGTCATACCGTAGACTACCCTCCACTGTAAATGTTCCTTCATCTTATTTCTTCCATGCTTCAGGATTTCTTCAGTTTTAAAGATAATTTCCTTAGGGCTGATCTGTTCAAAATGCCTTTAAGGCTTCCCAGGCCTTCTCCTAACAGGCCTTGGGAGATTACTAACATTGTTTTATTAATTCCCCAAAAGTGGTTACTTTTTCTTTCTCTGAAAACCAGGGCCAGAGAGTTAAAACAAAAGCCGGGCTTAACTGATGCTCTTTCTCAGTAGCTCAGCAGCTTCCAGGCTTACCTGATCATTGCTATGTAATCAAAGTATCATTTTATACTCATGGCAAAATGACAGATAGACTGAGCTTAATCCATACACTTTAGCTGTCTTACAATTTTATTATCACTGTGAATCACAATAAAATAAGCACATTACATCACACACACGCACACACACACACACTGAAAATGCTATGCAGGCTTCTGGGTGAGAAGAGTGACCAATGTCCACCCCAGCTGTGGATCTCACAACTAACAACAACCTGCTTAAACCACTGGTGCAGTGGTAACTAGACTATTATGGAAGTAACCAACCTCTTTCTGACTGGATTTGAGGCCCACTCTACAGGTGGATTCCATCTACAGATTGGAATTCATGCCTGTACCGCAAGTCTGGTCAAACCCATATGGGAACACACTACTGCTGTACTGCTAAATGAGCTTGTTTCAAAATGCCTTCGAATACATAAGTTTATACCATAGATTACTGCTATTACTGTGCTGCTCTCAGTCTTCAGCACAGAAACTTCTTTTTATAGTGAGAAATGATTAATGTAGAGCCTCACAACTGGGCAAAATGCTAAGAATAAGTGATTTTTGAATGCTCAGGCCTAGGTGGGGACAGTTGTATCATCACCCTTTACTCCTGGGTCAGGAAACATCATGGAAAATGAGGCAGAAAGAATGTAAGAGCCAGAGGATGGGGAGGAGTGATGAAAGCATCTCCTGAACTTGACATGGTTGGTGCACTCAAGGACTCATAGTCGCTGTGATTAGCTGCACAAGATTGGGACTGGACAGCTAACATTCCATCACAGGTGGAAAGGGAGTTCTTGAGACCTCAGACTTCCCTGAGGATATGGGCAGTTAATAGTCGCTGGGTGAGGAGATGTTTTCTTCGGTGAGATAGCCGTTATTCATTTGCCTATACTCCAGTGAATAACCCACAATTCATGTTCATGCAAGCAATGACAATTAAACTCAATGGGTCACACACACTGTTGTGTAGCAATTTCCTCTGAATTGAAACATTCCATTCTGGCAGGAAGCTTATTAAGATTCAGAAAGATGTAAAGGGAAGCTCCTTAAAACTCAGGAAATAAACAGCTCACAAGTTGTTACCTGAAGCTGACCAAATGCAGGAGGCCTTTTACTCCCAAAGGTTTTATGAACAGTAAGGACTGGTTGGAAGAGATAGCTCAGTCGGTAGAGCCTGAGACTCTTAATCTCAGGGTCGTGGGTTCGAGCCCCACGTTGGGCGTGATTTGTAGCTGGAGTTTTCTCCAGTCCTGCCTGGCCCACAGTCAGGACAAATCTCTCTCACTGCCAGTCCCTCAGCTGCTTAGACCCAACCGAGTAAACACAAAGAGACTTATATTCCTTACAAACTGTATGGCCATGGCAGGCTTCTTGTTATCTAGTTCTTCTATCTTAAATTAACCCATTTCTATTAGTCTATAAGTTGCCATGTGGCTCGTGGCTTACCAGTAACTTACATCTCACTTGTCATGGTGGTGGCTGGCAGCATCTCTCTGCCTCAGCCGTCCACTTCCCAGAATTCTCCTCTCTCCTTGTCCTGCCTATACTTCCTCCCTGGCTACTGGCCAATCAGTGTTTTATTTATCAATCAATCAGAGCAACACATTTAACATACAGAACATCCCACAGCAGAGACTCTCCAACTGGTTGAGCTGCCTACACACTGTGCAGAAAACTGGAAGGCTCCAGCTTTTATGAGTTGTCACTAGGGCTAGGGTGGGTTTTCAGTGATCAGCTGCCTTTGTGTTATCTATGCTTCTGTAAATACTCCCTCATTCATACGCTTATAAGTAATCCCAATTAACTTACTGGTTTACCAAGTTGGACTCGGGTAGTATTGTTATTTTGGCCTGTCATTGGTTCCCTATCTGGGGTCAGTAGACATTTATTCACATCTCCACAGAAATAGTGTCACATGACTCTCCCCCCCACTTTTCTCTTACACACACATGTACTCTCACACACACAGTAGGAGAGGAGCTTGAGTTTGTTGGGAATAAGAAGAGTTTTAGTAGAAGAGAGAGAGGGAAATGGTACATGAAAATGACCCAAATTCACTAAATATTTGGATGAAATTTGTATGGAGTAACACACAAATCAAACCTTGCTGTGCATGAGAAGTATAAGTTAACATCAAATGGTTTTATTTCTCCATAGGTACTATGTTGAAAATAATCTTCGGTGTCAGAGTTAGTTTTATGTTGATACAACCTGAGTCATCTGAAAGGAGGAACCTCAATAAGAAAATGGCTCCATAACACAGGGCTGTAGGCAAGCCTGTGGACATTTTCTTAATTAGTGATTGATGGAGGATGGCCCAGCTCACTGTGGTATGGACACCTCTGGGTTGGTGGTCCTGGGTTCTATAAGAAAGAAGGCTGAGAAAGCCATGAGGAGCAAGCCAGTAAGCAGCATCCTTTCATGGCTTCTGTTTCAGGTCCTGTTTCCAGGTTCCTGCCCTGTTTTGAGGGCCTGTCCTTACTCCTTCAGTGATGAACAGTGGTGTGGAAGCATAGGCCAAATAAAGCCTTCCCTCACCAACCTGCTTTTGGTCACGGCAATAGTAACGCTAAGTAAGACACTCAGAAAGCATTAGGAAAAATCAGGATAGATTTTATGAAACAGAATATGTATATTTTTATTTTTATAATATATTCTAGAACAGAACACTGTTTTTAAATAATCCTCACTTAAAAGTCTCATTTGTTGAAAAAAAATTCAAAATGTAGCCCTGTATATTGTCAACATTTGCTACCTAGGTAAACTTTTTCTGTTTAACAATCTCTATGCTTAATACATTGCTGTGGATATTGCTCTGTATGCTATGAATGTGTTGCTCTGATTGGTTAATAAATAAAATGCTGATTGGCCAGTAGCCATGCAGGAAGTATAGTATAGGCAGGACAAGCAGAGAAGAGAATTCTGGGAAGAGTCAGGAATTGCTAGCCAGACACAGAGGAAGCAAGATGTAAAGGCAAAACTGAGAAAAGGTACCAAGCCATATTGCTAAACATAAATAAGAATTATGGGTTAATTTAAGTGTAAGAGCTAGTCAATAATAAGCCTGAGCTAATGACTGAGCAATTTTAATTAATATAAGCTTCTGAGTGATTATTTTATAAGCAGCTGTGGGGTCTGTGGGACCAGGCAGGACACAGGAAAACTTTAGCTACAATACATTATCATTATATTGTGTATAAACATACATATGTTTCATTATTTTAAATTTCAACTGTTTTTATTATAAATGATTAAAAGGAATGTTTTAAGTATTGATTTGTGCAATTTGCATAAATTTACTCAAGAGTCGTGTCTTTCCTAAGGTTACCATTGCTGTGATGAAACAGTATGACCAAAAGCAGCTTGTGAAGAAAAGGGTTTATTTCACTTATAGTTCATCGAGGTAAGTCAAAGCAGGAATTAAGTAGGACAGGATCCTGGAGGCAGGAAATGATGCAGAGGCCATGGAGGGGTGCTGCTTACTGACTTGCTCCTCAAGACTTGCTCAGTCTGTTTTCTTATAGAACTCAGGACCACCAGCCCAGGGATGGCACCACCCACAATGAACTGAGCCCTCCCCCATAAATCACTAATTAGGAAAATGCCTTACAGGCTTGCCTACAACCTGAGCTTATGGAGGCATTTTCTCAATGGAGGTTCCCTTCTCTCAGATGACTCTAGCTTGTGTCAAGTCGGCATAAAACTCACTAGCACAATTAGTAAAAGAAGATTCTCAGCATCATTTCTTCCGAAAAACAAAATCATTGAAAGCTCTGTATAGAAGTTTGATTGAATCCTTCCTGCTTTTGCTTATGAAAAACATAAATGCATTGCTATTGGAACTCAGTCCAGAAATGGACTTATGTAAGGAGAAGTCTGAATGATTGTGGGAATACTCCAAGAAAACAGGACAAGAGTCTTGTGACTCAGATTTTTCAAAACATGGAAATGTTCTTGGAATTTCTTTTTGTGCTCCTCCAGGCACAACAGAAAGCAGTAGGTTTATTTCAGATTACTTATTACTACTTACTATTGGTAATCGATAATATTTAAACTGTCCTTTGTGTGCTTCTCTGGAAAAGCATATTTGTCATGCTCAGCTTGTCTGTTATTATATACAGCTTGAACTCATATGAGCTTTCTTAACCTTCAGAGTATAAATGGTCTGCTGCTCTGTGCAAAATTGGCTGTTGAATGAGACTTTAGTCCACCTCACTTATTGGTTCCATTCTCCCAGGTCCTACTATCTCTGGAGCAGTGACACATTGCCCTTTGTTATACTAGTATTCATGAATTCTGTTCAAATATATAACTTGCCGAGTGGTGGTGGCACACACCTTTAATCCCAGCACTCGGGAGGCAGAGCCAGGCAGATCTCTGTGAGTTCGAGGCCAGCCTGGGCTACCAAGTGAGTTCTAGGAAAGGTGCAAAGCTATACAGAGAAACCCTGTCTCAAAAAACAAAAAAACAAAAAAAAAAATCAAATATATAACTTAATTATGAAGTATCAGCTCGCTCATTGCATTCATGGTTTTCTAGACAGTCTCACACAATAAGGAAAGGAGACACCGAAGAGCAAATAGCTCATGGCTGCTTTGTGATCTACACACACGGTTATGGCCTAGATACCAAGTACACCCTAACAGGTCACATATTGAAACCTCAGTGTCTAGCTGGGGATGCTTCTGAGGGGTGAGTGGGTTATGAAGGCACTAATTCTGTCAATGGATTAACTCACTGATGAGTTCCCAGATGAATGAAGTGAGCCTCCCAGGAAGGGGCAGGCCTTTGAAAGGCCTGTCTGCCCCCTGTGCCTCCTTTCTTCTCTGCTCCTGTCCACTCTGAGGTGAGCAGCTTTGCTTGTCTCTGCTTTTCTACTGTGCTTCTGCATTGCCGCAGAAGTCACAGCAATGGAGCAGCAGACTATGGACTGAGAATTCATAAATTAAAAGAAAAAATTTTGATATCCAATCCTCTTTCCATTCTTGTTGATCTCAGGTATTTTATTACAGTGACAAAAACTAACAGATACACAATTTTATCACATCCTCTCAAACTACTGTTACTATGTGGGTAGTTTCTCTCAGATGTCAGAGTTCCACACTGATATTTGCTGCATTTTTTCATACTCTATCTATATTGGTTGGGACCTGACAAATTGATCTGAAGACACCCTGTATTATATTTTCACCAAAATTTGAAATGTGCTGCTTAAGACATTCCATGTAAAGTGTCAGAAAGTGTAAAAAGATAAAAGAAAGAGTAATTATGTGTGCTGAAAGGTTCTAAGTAGCATTTTTCAAAGGAGTTAGTCTACTCCCGGCCTTAAAACTCCATTGCATACATACATACATACATACATACATACATACATACACACATACATACATACATACATACATATGTGCATACATATATACATACACATGACTTTGTGAAAGGCTGATATCTTTTCATACATGGACAATTTCAACCACCTTTGGAATTGTATTTTCTGACTGTTCTAAACCTCTTTAATCTTTGGTATCAGTGTTAGAGCCCTGAAATGACCTGAAATGAATATTCAGGTTAGCTCCTCCAATACTCACACATCAGAACGTAAAGTAGAGCCGTTTATCCACCTCCATTTCTTGTCTGTCAGTGTGTAATTTAGTCCAATCCAATATGAACTGCCTTTTCCCTTTACTGTGTCCTTTATGAATCTCTACAATCAAAACAGAGTAGAGGACTTAACCCTGAGTCTGTGTACTGGGGACTCATGTTCTCCCAGCTTCCTGAAACCTAGTTCAAGTGTCACCTGTGTCCAGCCTGAGTCCCCAGCACAGTTAATTCTTGTTCCTTTGACAAACCTGTGTCTGGTATTTATGATTCTAGGACACTCACCTTGCATAAGCAGTTATTGGTTCACATGACCAATTTGTCTCTCAGACTGTGAGCTTCCACAACTTACCAGTTCTTCTTGGTCATGAATGAGCAGCAAAGTGGCTCCATCTGTAGCACAGTCAACTAGACCTTCCATCCAAATGTTGGTATCTTGAGAAAAATGTATGCATTTATCTCGGTGTGGCAGCCAGTCTTTTGGACACTTTAAGATAGCTGGACCGTCTGAAGTGAGAAGGAGACATGGAATATTTCTACCCTGTTCCTGCTGTACCACATCCAGTTACACACAGTAGTTGCTTTACTAACACACACTTTTAGTAACATGTGGTGGGGCAAGATTGCTGTCATGACATATTGAAGAAATATAAATACAAAGAATTTATTTTATTTTTGTTTCTATTAACTAACTTTAGACAAAGTTAACTATATGGCATATTTATTAAAACAATCAAATATTCCTTGTGGTGGTTTGAATAAGAATGGCCGCCATAGGTTCATATATTTGAATGCTTAGTCATCAGGGAGTGGTACTACTTTAAGAGGTGTGGCCTTGTTGGAGGAAGTGTGTCTGGGCGGGGGTGGGAGGGTGAGGTGGGGGTTGGGGGGTTGGGGGGTTGGGGGTATGGGGTGGGGGTGGGGGGTGGGGGGGGAACGACTTTGAGGTTTCAAAAGCCCAAACCAGGCCCAGTGTCCTTCTCAACCTGCTGCCTGCAGATCTAGATATAGACTCTCAGCTACTTCTCTAGCACCATGTCTGCCTGTGCCACCATGATTCCCACTGTGAGGACAATGGACTAAACCTCTGAAACTGTAAGCAGGCTCCAGTTAAATGCTCGCTTTTATAAGAGTTGTTGTGGTCATGGTATCTCTGCACAGCGATAGAATACTGACTCTAAAGCATTCCTCTAAAGCATAATACTTTTTTGGTATATGTGTCAGAGAGAGAGAGAGAGAGAGGTTTATGTGCATGTGTGCACAAGTACATGTGCCTATGCACATGCAGAGGCCAGAGAAGGATGTAAGGTGTCCTCCTCTGTCCCTCTCCACCTATTCTTTAGAAGCGGGGTCTCTCCTTGAATGTGAAGCTAATGTTGTTTCTGCAAAGCTGAAAGCCAGCAGGTTTCAGTGACTGTCCTGGGGTGTTCATTACTTGGATGCTGGGGTTGTAATTACAGTCTTCACACCTGCACACAAGTATTCTTAACACTGATCTGTCTCTTAAGCTTCATATTTTACTTCTTAAGTTGCTATTTGTCTGTTAGTAACCAACTGTGCTAGCAGGATGAGGCTGCATGGTCAGATGGCCAAGACGCTAGATTTCAAGGTTGAGTATCTTCATTGAAGTTTCCAGCAGCATCACTTACCAGTCACATGACTTTTGACAAGTTCTTAACCTTTTTATGCTTCAGTTTTCTCAAACATAAGACCCACAATGATGTGAGCCTTGACTAAAGGTAACGTGATAGTGATCAAATATCAGGATATCAAAATTACCTGTTGTTTTCGTCATGTTGTTCTCTTGAACATCCACACTGCTTTTTTCTACAGATGTTTTTTGTAACAATGATATCACTAGTAATAAGAAAACACAGGAAGAAGATGAAATGTACATTCTATGTGCACTAGAATGGATATTGTATCTATCACTTCAGGAAATGAAGTTGTCTCAGTAAGCTTGAGTATGGACAGGAGACAATGCATTGGCAACATGTTAACAATGGACCAGTCTGGAGACAGAATGAATAGAGGACAAGAGAAGCACAGAACAAATGGATTCACGTGCTGTTAGGTTACAGATATCTAAGGGCATTGCCAAAGCTCTTGCACCGCTCAAACCCTGAACTTCTCCCCTGTGGAGTAAGTGTACTCACACCCACCCACAGTGAAGAAGGTTGCTGGCTGCCTTCGGGAGTTTAGTAGACACCTAATAAACTCATATTTAGGCATTGTGGTTTTCATTGTTATTGTCATCTTGTCACATTTGTGACCGTTTTTAGAGTTCTAGCTGCACATATGTCATCCCCATAGTGATTCTCAAAACAAGAAGAGAAATGTGACAGGGGATATCATCCTGTAACTGCTCAATCATCATTGATCTTCCCACAGGCTCAAAGTGGCCAGATCATGTGAAGAAGCTGAAATACGGTGGAACTAAAGAGAGATTTTGTTTTGTTTTGTTTTTCAAGGCAGGGTTTCTCAGTGTAGCCTTGGGTGTTCTAGAACTAGCTCTGTAGACCAGACTGGCCTTAAACTCTCAGAAATCTGCCTACCTCTGCCTCCCGAGTGCTGGGATTAAAGTCATGCACCACCATTGCCAGGCTAGAGAAAGAATTCTAAGGTAAAAGCTTTTGTCTCACTCACCTAAGACACCGAGTCCAATCACACTCAGGACAAGAAGGATTAGCCCAGCACAGCCGAGTTTCAGAGCCAACCGATGCCAGCGTGGGCACCTACAGGTGTCTGAGAAGTTAAAGAAAACACACTTTTAGCCTAGCTGAGTGCATTTGGAATGAAGGTCAGAGGTGGTTTGATTAACATGGACAGTTGGGTTCAAGTTGAGGGTGGGGTGCAGAAGAGACTTTCTCGGACACCTTACTGTAGAATTCCACAAGATGAGTTCTGAGTTGGGTCAAATAGTGTTTTCTCTGATAAAATAGGATGACTTGTACATGATTCATGTGAAAGGGGGTTTTAGGAGGGTCAAACTTGACTGATGCGGAAGATGTTGTGAAAATTGCTGAGTGAGTATTGCACAAAATAAAGAATGTATTCTGTTATGGAAATGAGCCAGCATTTCCTCCAAGAAGGAGGATCTGTGGCTGATATATTGTGCACCCTAATAAAGCTTTCCTGGGGATCAGAGAACAGAACAGCCACTAGATTAGATATAGAGGCCAGACAGTGTTGGCACACATGCCTTTAACCCTATTACTCAGGAGGCAGAGATCGTCTGGATCTCTATGAGTTCAAGGCCACACTGGAAACAGAGCCAGGCAATGGTGGCACACACTTTTAAGCCCAGGATTTGAGATCTCATATCTTTGCTTAGGAAGGACACACGCCTTTAATCCCAGGAAATGATAGCAGGAAGCAGAAGGGTGTATAAGGAGTGAGGACCAGGAACTAGAGGCTTTTAAACAGTTCATCTGAGATCCCTTCCAGGTAAGGACTCAGAGGCTTCCAGTCTGAGGAAACAGGATCAGCTGAGGAGTTGGCAAGGTGAGGTTGGCCGTGGCTTGTTCCGTTTCTCTGATCTTTCAGAATTTACCCCAATATCAGGCTCCGGGTTTTTTTATTAATAAGATCATTTAGCAATTCGTATTACAGAATATCTTCATTTATAGGAGGTATACAGAGAGAGAGAGAGCGCTCAGTTTTGTGTTAAGTACCACCTTTGGTGTTGGTGATATATAGCAATTCTATTGTTTAACATGGGGCCCACTTCATGGTTGTCTAGAATGATCTTCTCCATCTTAGAACAAAGTTTAGGCATCTATGTTGTTTTTTTTATTTGTTTTGGGCAGAGTTTCAGTATGTAGTCCTGGCTGGTCTGGAACTCTAAGCAGACCCCAGTGGCCTCAGCCACCCTGTTGTTTCCAGTATTTTGACTACATTAGTCTCCTTTTATCTGCACAGGCTGAGTTCTCAAATTCTTAATGGAGAGATGAACTGTGGTTAGAAGCAATCTCTATGGACATTGTATCACACACACAAACACAGAGTTTTCCATCTTAACTGAGCGCATGCATACTGTGACTGTAACTTTCACAGCTTGGTATGTAGTAGCAAAATCTGTTTGTTTTTTTTTTCCTTTCCTTAAATAGAGTGTTTTCACCTTTTCATGTAGAGGAAGCATGCATGGTTTTTCTTTCACACAGCAGGGTTGCCAGCATTCACAGAGTTGGCCACTATTCAGTACAATGAGAGTTCTTTGAGCACACACCGTGGTGATTGGCAGGTTGTATTAGTCAGGGTTCTCTAGAGTCACAGAAATTATAGAATAATCTCTCTCTCTCTCTCTCTCTCTCTCTCTCTCTCTCTCTCTCTCTCTCTCTCCCTCTCCCCCCTCTCTTTTTCTTTCCCTCTCTCTCTTTCTCCAATATATGGGAATTTATTGGAATGACTTGCAGGCTGCAGTCCAACAATGGCTAGTTATGAATGGAAAGTCCAAGAATCTAGTAACTGCTCAGTCCCATGAGGCTGGATATCTCGGCTGGTTTGCTGGGATCTCAAAGGAGGAATGGATGGGCTGACGAAAGTTGAGGGCAAGCAGGCAAAGAACACCCCTTCCTTCCTCCATTGTCCTTACATAGGCTTCCAACAGAAGGTGTGGACCAGAGTAAAAGTGTGCCTTCTAGCCTCAAAGTCTGGATTAAAGGTATGTGCCTTCCAGCCTCAAGGTCTGGATTAAAGGCATGGAGGTTGTCTTCCTGCTCCAAGATCCGAATCACAAATGTGCCCTCTATTTCTGGATTATAGATCATTCCAAATATAGTCAAGTTGACAACCAAGAACAGCCATCACACAGGTGGTGAGGAGTGACTCATGTCTTGACCAAGATGGTGTGAGATTTAATTGTGCTGCTCAGAACAATGTCCAGCTTAACACACAGCGTAATTTATTCCTGGAATTTTCTATTTAAAATTTTTATTAATGTTTGTTGACTACAAGTTATGAAAGTGCACAAATTGAAATGACAGCTAAAGTGGGTACTGTGGTATAACACATATTTACATCTGCAACACTACATTGGTGAAACACCAGGCCCTGTATCTTTGCTTTTCTTGGTGACCTTATCAGTTACTATACAATAAATATCTCATGTATATCAGAAATTGAGATACATCAAGTTATGAAATGTGTTCATAAAGTATCATGATTTGGTCAATTTATTTTTATTTTAAACAATTTTAAAAGCATGAGTGTAATATGGAACGTAATAACAATAGTTTTTTTTAATTTATGAAAATACTATGGGGAAACAGCTAGCTCCTGTCACTCTAATTGAATTATAATACCCTATTGCTCCTATTTGGTGTCTAGCATTTACATTTATAATGGCTTTATAAATTCTAAGAAAGCTTTCCTGGTTGTCTTTTTGTTGTACTTTGTTTTCTTTTTGAGACAGGGTCCCTGTTGTCCAGGTTGGCCTCTAACTCTCTATGTGGTTGAGAGTGACCTTGAACTCCTGATCTTCCTGCCTCCACCTCCCAGGTTCTGGTTGGTATCATAGGTATGAGCCAAATACCTTGCTAAAGTCTCCTTATTTCTGCAAAGTACCTTTTGATTTATGATTTATATATACTTTCTGTTGGTTTATATTTTGCTAAATATTTCTTAATATAAATGAATACATGTTTAGAGTTACATGTTAAATTTTAAAAATTAGATGTGCTACTATTATATTGTCTTTTATTTTCATTGTATTTTCCGGTATTGTCTGTATATCCAGTTCTACTTTTTACATGCTTCCTGGCAACTGGATTGTTTAACCCAGACTGAAGACAAGACCAACTGTCTCTAGTCTCTAGACCAGCATTGAGACATGACAGCCACTTAGATGAGTTAGTTCCTTTTAAAATGTTCCTCTGGAGAAATAATAAAGGACAGAAGAACAAAAATCTTCTAGAAGAGATAACAGACACTCAGTCTAACTTATACTTGGAGTTAAGTCTCTGTAGACCCAACTAACTACAGACTGAAGATAGTCACATACAAAATGCTGCATTTGTGTGGAATGCACACATTCTTTCTCCATCTCTATTCTCTAAACAAATACTTGACAGCAGCTATTCCTGTGGCTTTGAAATTACCCTAGGTGCTGTACGTAATCTACAGATTATCTGAAGCACATAGCAATATGCAAGCCGGTTACTTATGAGGACTACATTTTATGTAGGAGACCAGCATGTATGCAGAGGTGTGGAAGCAACCCTCTGTGGACAGTGAGCAGTGTTGTATGGAGAGAGGTGGTACAAGACTGTCATGGAAGGAGGCAGTCAACGTGTTAGGTTTGAGGATGTGGCCAGTGGTTCACCACTGCTGCTGTGGAGGTCATGAGTGTCCTGGACAGGAGGCAGGAACAGGCACCAGAGGAGACTCCAAAGCCCCAAGGTCCATAATATTTCATATTCCATGAATTTTCTTATCTGTATCTGTAAAATGTGGACAATAACTACTTCATAATGCTCTAGAGAGGGCTGTAGGCAACAATTATTCTAAATTCCCAGGCATAGCATCTGGCCTGTGGTAACTGCCAATAAATACCAAATACCACCTTTCTTTCTTTCTTTCTTTCTTTCTTTCTTTCTTTCTTTCTTTCTTTCTTTCTTTCTTTCTCTCTCTCTCTCTCTCTCTCTCTCCCTCCCTCCCTCCCTCCCTCCCTCCCTCCCTCCCTCCCTCCCTCCCCCTCCCTCCCTCCTTTCCTTCCTTTCTTTCCTAAAAAGTGAGCTTTTTTGTTTGTTTGTTTTTGTTTTATTTTAATTATAAGTAAAAAGCCATTTAGGTGACTTAAAAAAATCTTCATTCATTCATAACAAAATTTAAGGAACTCCTGTCCTCAGAGCTAGGCTTCCTGGGCTCCGCACACTGTCTCTTCTACTATTGTAGTTACGTATGAAGAGGCTGTGTGAACACCGCTTTTGTGGAAGTACTTCCTTCAGGCATTCTCTGGTATCCACACAATGCTAAGTCATCTTTACTGTTCCGGACATTTCAACATCTGAACCTATGGAATGTCTTCCAAACCCCTTTCCATCTGACACCGTCCTCCTCACTTGATCTCCACAGCACACCAGGCATGCATGTTCCCCTACAACCTCACAGGTGTGTTCTCCCTTTGCCTTTGCTGGTCTAGCTTCCTAGAAGACTCATCTCTCAGCTCCTCAGCCATGGTCCCCAGAGACTTCCAGGATTTGACTCCAGCATCATCTCTCAGAAAGGCCTGCCTTGATCACTCTGCTTGGCCTGATGCCATCTCTAAAGGCAAAAATCTTAATTTCCATTGAAATTTTTTTTGTTGTTGTTGTTGTTGGCGTCCAACATCGCACAGTCATTGATGCAAGTGTTTCTATCACTGATTTAAAACTCACAGTAATATAAAAACTAAGGGAGAAAGATGGTTTCCTGTTTCTTCATGGCTATTTCCCCAGTGTCCAGAGCAATGTTTGTCTCATAGTAATTAGTTATTTCTGAATGAATGAATACACTCTGGAGGCATTTTTACATATTTTATCCATTATACCATTAAAACAGACCTTTGGTCATTTGACCACGAACAAAATAGGTCACTGCCCATGTCCCCCTTTCCGGTTCCTTTGTTGGCAGATCTAATCATGGTGCTTTGAATTCACCATGGTTTGAGTCCTTAGTTAGCAGGTCCCAGTGGTTTCACTGTTATTACGCTTCTGCGTCAGCATTGTCTAGTGGAACACTATGTTCTACTTTTATTCTACGATTATTCGTTTTTTTTCTTCAGGTTTATTTCTAGATTATTGATGTTTAAAATAATGATTTTTTTGTAGTGTTGTTTTTTTTTTTTTACTTTCCAGACACTTTTTTCTAATCTTTTGGGGACCGTAGACAGTAGAGTTTGAGGACAGTGTCATTATCTTTCTCTATATTCATTTTCTTATACCCTTTTCAACAAGGCCCTTCCTCTACTTTTGCTAGGCGTGATGGGAAAACAAAGACTTGTTTTTTCCCAACAAAAGCAGCTGGTGCCAATAACTCCCCCTACAGTTATCAAACCAGTTTTTTCTTTCCAGTTTCTGCTCACCCTTACGTAAACATTATCATGAAATTTATTTGGTGACTCTAAAACTTTCTCCTAGACTCAATCCTTTGACAATATACTGGTTTCTAAAAGAAGCCCTAAAGTTCAAAGTCTACTTGTCATAACACATAGAGGATATATCACATTGGAAAACAACTGCTTTAAGATGGGTGTCAGTAGGTTCAGTTAGACAGCAGAACGGAATACTGTATCATGATCATTTTCTATACATTTTCTATACTCTGCCTGAGCTTCTGGTCTCTTACTTCTCAGCCATCCCCAGGTCATGTGCTTCATCTTACCAGCTTTCCGCATTTCTTTTCCTCATATTACTAAATCCTCTGGTAGATAAGAGTGCTACTTTCAGCCAGTGTTGAAAGGTTAATTCCTGACTGGCTTTGGTACCTTGTGTGGTTCACCATTTAAAGCTGTTATACTTTGCAAAACAGAAAGAACCAGCTTTTTAAAAAATCAAATAAATATATATTTATTTATTTTCATTGAATTTAATATATTTAACATATATATTTAATTTAATATGAATTTATTCAAATATATCTATATCTATATCTATATATACATCTCACCAGCTTTTAATTTAATTCAAGTCCTCGATTTCAACTGTGACTTTCCCCCAAAGATCACCCACCCTCCTTTTTTGGGAGATTAAGACATCAACCATGAAGTCTACACTCTGCACTGTGAAGCAACAGCTGGGGTTGCTGCTGAAGTACAGCTGGGTCACAGTGTCCACATTCTGTAGATAAATTTGGAATTGGCAATTGATTGCATCAAGTATCTCTAAAAACAGGCCTCTGCTCATGTAAGTAAAATATCCTCTCTTCAGGATATTTAACAAAGGCTGACTAGGAGAATTGATGTTCAGGTTTCCTGCTGTCTACCTGAATAAAAATGGAATGTACGACCTTTCCAGAACTTCGGTTTTCTGCAGGCAGGGTGCCTACACTATTTAACACTAACATAGACCTGATTCTCACCTTCAAAGCAGTGACTTAAACCCACAGGTTTTAGAGGGAAATCTTAACTCTGGAAGATAATTCAGACGACAGAGAAGTAAAGCTGCTTACCTGGAGGAAGAGACAGAGGTGATGCACGCTTAGGCTCTCGGGTCTTGGTTAGGTTTAAGTCAGCGTAGACTACCGATGCATCCATTGTAGATGGAGGGACGTGACACTGAACTTGTGGACAGGGACAAACTCCAAGGTCTGTGAGGAAATGAGCAAAAAAGGAAGTCCGCTGTGAACACTCTGCTGTGTGTCCACACCCACCCACACTTGTCTCTGAGGGTTTCTCCATAGCTACTGACTTTGGTGTCTGTCCTGCTCACATAGTTTACATTTTATTTTATTTTTAAGAAAGAATGTGAAACACAGAGAACATAGAGTTTGGTTTTTCAGACAAATTTCTGGAAAGGTCTTTCTGGTTCTTGTTCCTCTAACCATCTGTTATGAGTTTTCTTCTCAGAGCTCCAATGAAATATTCATCTCGAATTCAAATTTACCTTCCCCCTGAACTCCCAGGGGTTAAGATGTATGACATTTCATGCTATGCTATGAAATTGAGGATTAGTACATCAGAGTCCACGGTGCTATTTGGCACCAGTTGAAGCTCTAAAACCCTCCTGAGATATCCACACTGTGAAAGGAGCCGTGAAGTGTGGAAATGCAGACATGAATGTGGGAAAAACTCGTGACGGACACAGCAGGAAGAGCAATGATGGGGGACAGCACATGCCACTCAGCGTTGTCCTGAGTGAAAAGACTTCATCCGTCAGAGCTACAGAGAGCGGAGGACACCGGTCTATGGCACATGCTAACTCCTCTGACGATTTCCAGACCCAGAGCCTTAGAGCAAGGACTACACATGCCACCAAGTCAGACATTCTCATATCACAAGTGAAAAAGAAGAAGAAAAGCAAGGATTTCCTTAAAGCCACTTTCTGTGGTCAGAGTGGAATTGTACCAGGTGCTCACAATTCTGTAACAGTGGCAGCAGTCTGCTGGCTGTGAGGTCCCGGAGACAGGGGGTGTGTTCCCACAGCACGGGGCACACCCTCATTCCCCAAGACCACTGATGATTACAAGGGAGGGTCTCACAGCACACTTGGTGACTCAGTGCATCTGCACCAGCTGTCACTGTTGGATGGCAGTCGTCACTCAACGCCAGGCCTGGGCTTCTGCCTCATGCTTCATCAAAACCTAAAGTTTCAATAAGGGTACAAGATTTTCCAGAGTTGTCCATCTTCAGTGATTCTATATATTTCTTTTACTCAGATTTCTATATCCTCTGGTAGACAGTGCTGATTTCAACCAGTGTTGAACCTTTAGTATAGATAAATTTCATATACATCAGGTCCTCAGGCTTTAGTTTATATAAGAATCATCTAAAAGTTTATTAATAATTCATTTTGCTGTCCCATAATGCCCCCCCCTTTCCAAGATATCACTAGCTTTCAGTGGTAAATATGTAAAGAACATTCCAAATATTTGAGGGGAGTCTTGGACCATGCTTAAGCAAACAATCCTGTGGTCAGTGACTATGGGGATATATTAGACAGATCAACAGAGTAAAGAGAAGTCTGAAGCTGTATTTCAATGAAAAAACGAAGCTTTGAGGACGTTGAAGGTTTTTCTTTTTAGTCTTACTCTAATATTTTATGTGTGTTGCTGATCTGTGGTTGTGAGCTGCCTTGTAAGATGGGAACTGAACTCGGTCCTCTGGGAGGACAGCCCAGGCTCTTGACTACTGAGCCCTCTCTGCAGGCCCAACATTGAAATTTAACAAGTGCTGAAGCTTGATTCTGATGGATCTGCAATGGCCTTATTAAATGCAGGAGATTCGAGGGGAGGTGTTTTCATCAGCAGGTGCTCCCAAAAGCCTCGAAGCCACAAAGTGTAGAGAAATTAAAAATAACAACCGAACACATCGCCATTGGTCAGTGTGTTCCATGCAGCTGATAGACCACTTTTCCTGTGATAGAGAGACAGGAGCCACACCAATTACCACACAGTTATTTTTACAACAAAAGTTTTGTTATGCAGCCATCATTGTACAGATAAAAAAAAAACCCTCCTGAGAATTCACATCCAGGGATTCATCTGGCTGCTGAAGTTGTCTGGCCACCTCATTGTCCAAATGATAGTTTCACTGTCGGATTTCAGGATTATATTAATCTTGCTGTTATAAAATATAAGGAGGGTAAGCGGATGTGTATTTGTGTGCTAGAGAGAGTACAATGTGATATTAAGCATATATGATGTGATGTGAAATCTAAAGAATTCAAATGGTGAATGGTTGTAAGTGATCCTGGATTTTATTGACTTTTATTTATCCATGTAGGTGTATGTGTTTATACATGTGTGTGAATATAGTGTATGTTTGTGTGGTGTGGGTGCATATGTTTGAGGATGTACACACTGTGTGCATGCCCAGAGGCCAGAGGAAAGTGTGAGATATTCTTTCCTCCTTGTTCCTTTGAGGCAGGGTTTCTTCTGGACCTCGCATTGATTTTGTCTGTGTTTTCAGACAGTCTGGAAACCAACATGCTCCAGTGATCATCCCGTCTCCTCTCCTCTGGATGCTAGGGTTCTACATCACACCTGGCTTCTACATCATTCTTACCTGCTGAGCTATCTCTCCAAACCCTGATACTGAGTTTTAAAGTGGCTATAGTTAAAGTCATAATGAAAATCTCAAAGATTAAGAAAGACAAGCTTCCTAGTGGTAGCCTGCTTTGTTATTGAACTCTTTCACTTTTATAGTGGAAGTTAGAATGTGTAGAAAAATAGAGTGAAATATGAACATTACTCTTGCATGTGAAGAAATAAAAAAGAGGCTACACAAATGACAGTGATAAAAGGAGGGGCTGGAGAGATGGTTTAGAGGTTAAGAGCACTGGCTGCTCTTCCAGAGTTTGATTCCCAGCATGCACCAGGCAGCTCAAAACTCTCTGTAACTCGGTCCCAAGGGTCCTGATACCCTCTTCTAGCTTCTCTGACCACCAAGTGCTCACATAGTGCACAGATATACATGCAGGTAAAACACCCACACTCGTGAAATAAAATAAAAATAATTCAATACTTTAAAAAAGACTAGGAGAGGTGAGTGAAATTTCAAATGTCACAATCACCGAAAAATTTACACAGATACAAAAACAAACAAACAAACAAACCAAAAACAGAGAAAGATGGCCCAGTCAGAGAAAGGAAGGAGTACTTTATAGATTAAAGCATCACAAATGTATGAGCTTCTTCAGGAGGAGTTTTGATGAGCTGGTGGACACCACAGATAACAGCTGCAGGGACACAGGAAAGTGACACACAAGGAAGGAAAATCATCTGCCAACAAGGACACGGAAACTGTAATAGAACCAAACAGACTTTGGGAATGAAAAGCCACAATAGCGGAACTGAAATGTTCACTGGGGGTCAAGGGAGCTTGGTACTTTTCAAACATGTGAGCAAGACAAATTTCTTCTCCTGAAAGCAGAAGATGGAATATTCGTGAAGGAGAAGAAGGACGGGAGAAAAAGAGGGGAGACTACTTGAAGGTGACAGAGTGTCCGTGGGTCAAGACATGGTACATGCATGTGCCAACGTGTCATGGAGAAAACCATTATGCTGTACACTTAATACCTTCTAATATAAAGTGGAAAAAATGATGAGCCACTTTTCTTTCCAGATATTCTGATCTCAATTATTTCATAATAACTGCAGCAAATGGACTCATACAGATGTCTTCAAGTGGTGAAAAATTCATTTTAACCAAAAATATTGCAGTCAGCAAAATTATCCTTCAAAAGTGAAGAAGATACTGAGACTTTCCCAAATATTCGAAATCTGAAGGAGCTTGTTAATACTGGACCTGCTGCACAAGAGACGACCCAGAGGTCTTCAAAGCGAAAGGACAGTGAGGAGAAAAACACAGTCACAAAAAGTTGTCAACACACACAGCAACACAGGCTACTCTAATACTGGTACACAGATTTTCAGTCACAAACAAACGTGAAAAAGCAGGTATAATTGTGTGCAATGTGTATATAATACTTTAACATCAATAACAAATCTTGAGTGAATAAAACTGCAACACAATGGAGTGTTTGTGATTGAAATTAAGCTAATACTATTTTAAAATAGAATTCTACATCTTTAAAAAGTTTTTTCTTAAAAGAAGCTTCATTATATAATTGCAATGGTAACCACAAAGCTAATACATATAGTGTCTTATTGTTCTATTGCTATCAAAAGACACTGGTGATTTGAATAAAAATGGCCCCTATAGACCCATAGGGAGTGGCACTATCAAGAGGTGTGGTCTTGTTGGTGTGGGTGTAGCTTTATTGGAAAAGGTGTCACTAGGGGGTGGGCTTTAAGGTCTCAGAAGCTCAAGCCTGGCCAGTGTATCACTGTCACTTCCTGCTGCCTTGGGATCCAGATGTAGAACTCTCAGCTACCTCTCCAGCACCATGTCTGCCTGTATGCCACCATGTTCCCTGCCATGACACTAAGGGACTAAACCTCCGAATGTAAGCAAGCCCCAATTAAATGTTTCTTTTTTATAAGAGTTGCAGTGGTCATGGTGTCTCTTCACAGCAATAAAACCCTAACAAAGATGCCATGACTAAGGTATCATATAAAAGAAAGCATTTAATTGGGGCTTGCTTACAGCTTCAGAGAATGAGTCCATTTCCATCATGGGCCTGGTGTGGACTTTGGAAACCTCAAAGTTTACCTCCAATGATACACCTCCTCCAAAAGACCACACCTCCTAATCCTTCCTAAATAGTCTACCAACTGAGAACCACATTCAAATATATGATGAGTTTATGGGTACATTCTCATTCAAACCACCTCATATAGAACAAAGACAAAAGAAAATAAGATGCAAATCAAAGCATAGCACTATAAAAAATGAAATATGAAAGGAGTCAGTAAGAGAAGAACAAGGGAGGGGAAATCATAAGCATTCAGAAATAACAAATTAGTCACCTTTCTGTACTCCACTTATAATAAGAAAGTCGAAAAGAAAATTAAGAGAACAATTCCATCCATAATGTCATGAAACAGACTAAAATACTGAAGAATAAACCCAGTTATAGATGTGAAAGACTTACACAGCAAACACCATAAAACATGCTGGATGAAATAATAAAGGAAATCTTGGATTAATGAGATGGTTGGCTTTGACACTGTTGAGATGACTATAC